GCAGCAAAAAGCTGAAACACCTTCACCAACATCTTCACTATTACTGCTGTGAGAATCCAGTTAAGTTTCTGTGATTATAACATTATTTCCTAATTTTAAACTATGCTACTTTCCCATCTGAGCAAGATCAATGTGTGGTCATCTTCTCTGTGCCATCAATAATAAAGCTATACAATTTTTAAAAACTTTTAGTGACTTTAAGATGCCCTCACTAGCATGCCTGGATTGTAGGACAGAATCCAATATTTAAATATCCTAATCCAATTTAGCATATTAACAGAAATCAACATTGTGCTCAAAAACTGTATACAACATGAACATAGACTCAGTGACATCGCCAATTTTTTTTAGGAGTAGAGCTTTGAAGTCTAAGGGCAGCATGTGCCATAGTGAAATAGCTTACTTAAACTAACTTACAGTAAATCTCCCAAGATGTCACAAAGTGGAGTTCAGTTGGGCCTTCAGCCTTCTCGCTAACAATGACAGCCAGCCTGTAAGTCGAGTCAGCTGTGCCTTTGATACACCCAACTCATAACCTTAATATTCTCAAAACTAATGCATCATTTAAAAGAAAACACTCCCCAACAGTGTGTGCTTTGATGTCAGGTTCACATGAAGCGCAAGTAAAACCATCTACTCACTTAAATTTGCGTGTATCTGGACACGCTAATGTTGTGTATTTACCCACTTAATTTGTGCAAATGACTTGCTTAATTTGTGGGTTTGTACTGTGTCTGCAGAGGGCTCAAACACACGTGATTATGGGAGAGCAGTGCAAGAGAGGAGGGGTTCTTACCATAGACTGTATATACAGTGCATCCAGAAAGTATTCATACCACTTTACTTTTTCCACATTTTGTTATGTTACAGCCTTATTCCAAAATGGATGAAATACCCTTTTGCCCTCAAAAAATCTACACAAACTACCCCATAATGACAAAGCAAAAAACTTTTTTTAGAACATTTTGCAAATTTATTAAAAATAAGAACACTCAAATGTTGCATATACATAAGTATTCACACCCTTTACTCAATACTTGGTTGAAGCACCTTTGGCAGCGATTACAGCCTCCAACAATAAGCTTGGCACACCTGGATTTGGGGAGTTTTTCCCCATTCTTCCTTGCACATCCTCTCAAGCTCAGTGATGTTGGATGGGCAGCATTGGTGCACAGCTACTTTCAGGTCTTTCCAAAGATGTTCAATCGGGTTCAAGTCTGGGCTCTGGCTGGGCCACTCAAGGACATTCAGAGACTTGTCCTGAAGCCACTCGTTTGTCCTCCTGGCCATGTGCTTAGGGTCATTGTCATGCTGGAAGATGAAGCGTCACCCCAGTCAAAGGTCTCGAGCGCTCTGGAGCAGGTTTTCATCAAGGATTTCGATGTACTTAACTGCATTCATTTTTCCCTCGATCCTGACAAGTCTCCCAGTTCCTGCCACTGAAAAACATCCCCACAGCATGATGCTGCCACCACCATGCTTCACTGTAGGGATGGTATTGGCGAGATGGTGAGCACTGCCTGGTTTCCTCCAGACATGACGCTTGGCATTCAGGCCAAAGAGTTCGATCTTCGTTTCATCAGACCAGAGAATTTTGTTTCTCCTGGTCTGTGAGTCCTTCAGGTGCCTTCTAGCAAAGTCCAAGCGGGCTGTCAAGTGCTTTTTACTGAGGAGTGGCTTCTGTCTGGCTACTCTACCATAAATGCCTGACTGGTGGAGTGCTGCAGAGACGGTGGTCCTTCTGTAGGGTTCTCCCATCTCCTCAGAGGAACGCTGGAGCTCTGTCAGAGTGACCATCGGGTTCTTGGTCACCTCCCTGACCAAGGCCCTGCTCCCCCGCTTGCTCATTTTGGCTGGGCAGCCAGCTCTAGGAAGAGTCCTGGTGGTACCATACGTCTTTCATTTCTTAATGATGGAGACCACTGTGCTTTTTGGGATCTTCAATGCAGTAGATATTTTTCTGTAACCTTCCCCAGATCTGTGCGCCGATACAACCCTGTTTCAGAGGTCTACAGACAATTCTTTCGACTTCATGGCTTGGTTTGTGCTCTGACATCTTATATAGACAGGTGTGGCTTTCCAAATCATGTCCAATCAGCTGAATTTGCCACAGGTGGACTGCAATCAAGTTGGAGGAACAATTTAAGGCTGATCAGTGGAAACAGGATGCACCTGAGCTCAATTTTGAGTTTTATAGCAAAGGGTGTGATTACTTGTGTATATGCAACATTGGAGTGTCTTATTTTTAATAAATTAGCAAAATGTTGTAAAAAAAGTTTTTCGCTTTGTCATTATAGGGTATTTTGTTTAGAAGTTTTTAGGGGAAAAAGGAATGTAATCCATTTTAGAATAAGGCTGTAACATAACAAAATGTGGAAAAAGTGAAGTGTTATGAATACTTTCTGGGTGCACTGTATTATGGACAACTTGGCTCCGCCTTCCACCATTAGACAAATGTGAAGCGAAATTGTTGTGGGCATTGCTGAAGTTCCTGGAAGCACGACTTGCACAGAAGGAAGGAAGGAAGGAAGGAAGGAAGATAGATAGATAGATAGATAGATAGATAGATAGATAGATAGATAGATAGATAGATAGATAGATAGAGAAATTGTACACATTCAGCGGAAGATTTGCTGTGATGACACTGTACTCAAACAGCGTATCCCCAAGTCCCGGAGGACCTACACAATTAATCTGATTTAATTTGTAAAATTTGTCTACAGCTCCATTAACTTTGCTGGAGAAGGCGGGGTTTATGACCTATACCGCAGCCTGTCACCAGAGAGGTGCTGTTCTCGTGTATGTTTCGCCCAGCAAGGAAGCAGATGACGTCCATTCTATATACACTCTATGACTCCTATGTCATGTCAGTGTGCTTACATCAAACATTTTATCCTCCAGCTCAGGTGGCTGCATACTGATACTGATTAGTCTGATTGGTTAATCCTCTATTATTCACATAAGTGAATCTATGCCGATCTGTTGTTGACATATGTCACGGAGATACCATCATAATACATGCTGAGAGATCATCACAATCTGAACACTCACTTGAGTCGAGATGGATCCAACTCTTGCCAATAGGAGTTTGAAGCAAGAAGCACATTTGGTGCAAACTGCTTAACTTGCATCATTCTGGCCGCCTGAGTGAAATGCGCATATTGGGCTCTATTTTCATGCCTCGCCAGAGATGTGGTGCAGGCGCGGCGTAAGATAGATAGATAGATAGATAGATAGAGAACTTTATTAATCCCCGAGGGGAAATTCGGTTGTTATAGTAGCCGATACAAGCAATACAAGAGAAATACAAAAAATAGATAAAATATACAAGACTATACAATGCTATACAAGACTATACAAGATAATGAATGAATATGAGTACTTAAATAGTATGTGCTAAGATGAAAGAATCTGTAAGTGTAGATGTGCAAAGGAGAAATGTGCAAAAGTGATAAAAATATTGTATGATACTTATATGTGCTTAATATAACTTAATTACAACCTAAGCATGTGTACCCGTATTTATAACAACAATGTAGGAATGGCAGGCTAGTCCATGTAAGTGACTGTGGCTCTAACAGGGGTGGATGAGTTAAAGAGTCTTATTGCAGTAGGTAGGAATGACTTCCTGTATCTTTCCTTAGAGCAGCGGGGTTGAATGAGTCTGTTGCTGAAGCTGCTCTTCAACCTGTCCAGTGTGTTGTAGAGGGGGTGGGAGGGATTGTCCATGATTGCCAGCAGCTTTGCCAGCATCCTGTCTTCCACCACCTCTTCCAGGGTGACAAGTTTAGAGCCCACAACAGACTCTGCCCTTCTGATGAGTTTGTTCAGTCTGTTGGCGTCCTTTGCCTTGATGCACGCGCCCCAGGACACCGCAGCAAAGAAGATTGTGCTCGCCACAACAGACTGATAGAACATCTGCAGCATCTTGTTGCAGATGTTAAAGGACCTGAGCCTCCTCAGGAAGTAGAGCCGGCTCAGGCCCTTCTTGTACACCGCCTCTGTGTTTGCGGACCAGTCCAGTTTATTGTCCAGTGTAACACCCAGGTACTTGTAGGTGTCCACCAAATCCACATCTGTCCCACTGATGCGGACAGGAGTGGGCAGGGGCTTGTTCCTCCTAAAATCCACCACCATCTCTCTCGTCTTCGCCACGTTCAGCTGCAGGTGGTTCTCCCCACACCACTTCACTTCGACCAGGTCCCTGTACTCAGCCTCCCTTCCCCCCTCCACACACCCCACAATGGCCGTGTCATCGGAGAACTTCTGCAGGTGACACGACTCAGTGCAGTACTTAAAGTCTGATGTGTATGTGGTGAAGAGGAAGGGGGACAGCACAGTCCCCTGGGGGGCTCCGATGTCACTGATCAGACGACCAGACTCACAGTTCCGTAATCTCACAAACTGCGGCCTGCCCGTCAGATAGTCATCGACCCAAGTGATGAGGGGAGAACTCACCCGCATGCTCTCCAGTTTGGCCTTCAGCAGTCTGGGCTGGATGGTGTTGAAGGCGCTCGAGAAGTCGAAGAACATGATGCGGACTGAGGTGTTGGGTCTGTCCAGGGAGGCGTAGGCCTTTTGCAGCAGGTAGATGATTGCATCATCAACCCCAACGTGGGGCTGATAAGCAAACTGCAGGGGGTCTTGTGATGTGCGCACCAGCGGTCTGAGGTGTGCCAGGACCAGTCTCTCCATAACCTTCATGATGTGAGAGGTCAGTGCCACCGGTCTGTAATCCTCCAGTGCAGCAGGACGTCCTTTTTTGGGCACTGGGACCAGGCAGGATGTTTTCCAGAGCACTGGCACTCTCTGTAGGTGTAGGCTCAAGTTGAACAGATACTGAAGAACTCCACAGAGCTCACTGGAACAAGCTATCAACACACGAGGGCTGATGTGGTCCGGTCCAGCTGCTTTCCTCTGTTTGAGCCTCTCCAGCTCTCTCTTCACCTGGCTGGATGTAATGTGGAGTCCAGACTGGGGGGTGGGGGATATGCTATCGTTCAAGGTGGATGTTGTTGCTGGGTCGTGGAGTGGAGGTGACAGGGGAGGTACAGAGGGGGAGGGGATTGTCTGCTGTAGGAGGTGGTGGGGAGCTGCGAGTATGTCTGTGGGGCGGGAGGTGTGAAAGAGTCTGTGACGAGTGTCCGCACAGGGGGTGGGGGTGGTGTGGAGCAGGGTGTTGTTGTGGTGGGAGGTGAGGAGTTGTTTGTTGAAGCAGTAGGGGGGCCGCCTGGTGTGGAGTTGAACCTATTAAAAAACATGTTCAAGTCATTGGCACGTCGTTCATCCCCCTCTGCCGCACCCGCACCTCTCCTCTGGAAGCCTGTGATCTCCCTCATCCCCCTCCAGACGTCCCTGGTGTTATTGTCTGCCAGTCTTTGTTCCAGTTTTCTTCTGTAGATGTCCTTGCTCTCCCTGATGCTGTATTTGAGCTCCTTTTGTACCCTCTTAAGTTCTGCTCGGTCCCCTGATCTAAAGGCCTTCTTCTTCTCATTGAGAAGGGCTTTCAGGTCGCTGGTTATCCACGGTTTGTTGTTTGGATAGCAGCGGACCTCCTTAGTGGGGATGGTGTTATCAATGCAGAACCCGATGTACTCAGAGATACAGTCAGTCATTCCATCTATGTCCTCACCATGTGGCTCATACAGGGCATCCCAGTCCGTGGCCTCCAGCGCTCCACGTAGTGTTTCCATGGCCTCATGAGACCATTTCCTCACTGTCTTCACTGTAACTGGATGCTGCTGAACCACAGGCTTGTATAATGGCGAGAGCAGGACTAGGTTGTGGTCTGACCTGCCCAGTGGTGGCAGGGCAGTGGCACTATACGCATCCTTAACATTTGCGTACAGCAGGTCCAAAGTCTTATTTTCACGAGTAGTGCATGTCACAAACTGGTAGAAGGTTGGGAGTGTGGATGAGAGGGAGACGTGGTTAAAGTCACCTGTGATGATGATGAAAGCCCCAGGGTGTTGTGTCTGTAATCCTGCAGTCACATTGTGAATAGCATCACACGCTGCTTCTGCGTTTCCAGACGGGGGGATATAAGCAGTTATGGCGATAACACTGGTAAATTCCCTCGGCAAATAATATGGACGAAGTCCGACGGCGACGAGCTCGATGTTTGGGCTGCAGATCCGCTCTTTAACCGTAACGTGCCCGGGGTGACACCACCTGTTGTTCACGAGCACAGCGACGCCTCCTCCTTTCTTCTTGCCGGTCGCCGCGGTGTCTCTGTCGGCTCGGACCGTCTGGAAGCCAGGGATGGTGACGTTCGAGTCCGGTATCTGCTCGTGCAGCCATGTTTCCGTAAAACACATGATACTGGACTCTCGGTACTCCCGCTGTGTCCTGGTGAGCGCTTCCAGTTCGTCCACTTTATTCGCCAGTGATCTCACGTTTCCAGTGATGACTGCAGGGATGTAGGGTTTAAACTTCCTCTTCTTCATCCTTCGTTTAAGCCCCGCTCTGCAGCCTCGCCGTCTCCTCTTAAGCTCCTCAGGTATGGAGGGTCTCTCCCCGGCCAAGGGAGTCGCGTATCTGAGAGCCATCAGCTGTTCGCGGGTGTAAACAATGCCAGCGGTGTTGCAGGCATGACTCCCCGTGATCCGGAGAGACATAAGTACCATTAAAAAGAGACCAAGATGTACAATCCTTTGGAAAAAGTATCTTGTCGTAGTGCGTGACGATGATGTGCAGAACTATATAAAAATTAAGTTAAAAAATAAGCAATAAGCGCAATAAAAACACAATAAAACGTTAGAAGTATCCAGAGCTACTACAACAAGCTGCCGCTAGGACGGCGCCGACAAGGCGTTCCCAAGCACAATTTGGTGTTTTGGGGAGCGGCCCAGCCTGGCGTAAGTATCCCCCCTCCCTAACTTAGCTCCTCCCAGCGGCGTAAGTCGTAGGGAGGGAGGAGAGAGGGCGTGGAGTGGGTTTAACACAGCCAAGACCTGTTTTGACCAATCACATAAGCTCCTCTCCTCGCCTTTAAATCTGCCACTGGCGAGGCGTATGACAATTTTCGTGTCGTAGTCAAAAGGGTCAAGAGATGTCTGAAGATAGCAATGCCACACGGTGGCGACAGTAGGCAACCCCTCAACAAGTGTCACTGTAAGCACTGCAGAGGGCGTCCTGCACACTAGAGGATGACATTTTTTGTGAATTCCCGTGGGTCACATGATTCCCACGGGATGGGAGTCATTTTTTAATTAATCCTGTGATCGGGACGGGATGGGGAAAAAAAGCAGTGGGAGCGGGCAGGAGCGGGAACAACATTAATAGATGATCATTTTCAGCCGTGTTAAACAACCAGATGAACAGATGCGTCCATTTTTGTAGTCATCTCTCAGTAAGAGCCAACACTCTTGATCGCGCTAGCAACACAAAAGAATTACAACAGTAGTTTGACTTCCTGTCAGCCAGGAGCGCGGCTGCGCATTTCTACCCTTCAAGCCAGGAGCGCGGATATGTCATTTTGTGACACTCTGTAGTTTTTTAATCATTTCTGGAGTCGTGGCGAATAAAATCATCATACCCGTCTGTCTCTGATAGGCGAATAAAGCGCTTGGATTCATGCTCAGATCTTGCTACGTGCTTCAAGAGTCAAGTAAACAACAACGGAGGCAGAGAGCAGCTTTGGAGGATAAACATCCGGCACTGTGAACAACCTTTTCATATAGAGTGCTTTGGTTCACACTATCAGCGTTTTCTGTGAGTGTTGCATGACTTTGGGTGAGCACAGAGATGAACACACTTCAGCCAGGTATTTATTTATTCATTTTTTAGTTTTAAGCGCTGGTATTGTACTGGCACTATACTAGGGCAGCTGTATACCCTTTCAACATTTTATTTTTTATATTTACATTTGTGTTGAATTGACACTTTATCATGACTGCCACTTGTTTAACAGAAAACAAATAGTTTATTATTCTCCAGTGCAGAGCCTTAACTTTTATTTATACAGCTGCTTTAATTCATTTAAGTTTGTTTCTTCAATGTTTTCAAAAATGTAATGAAGGTTCCGAAAAATAATAGATAGCTTTTTTGAAAGCCACACCTGTAAGCCTGTAAGCTCTCAAATACTTTTTGAATTCTGTTTCTATTTGCGACAGAGACTGAGATATCAGCTTTTTTGTAAACCTCAACAGTTAAGAAAACCGCAGGATCTGGGGGCCCTTCTCAAAATGGCCCTCAGGATTTCAGAGGCGCAGCTCAGATGGCTTGGAGGGGGTCTCACCTGGGGAGTAATTTCGTCTCGAACCGCCACTGTATATATATGCACTTTGTTAACACTGACCGAATGTTAGGCATGTGAAACTTAAAGGCAATGCCTTTTATATGCAATGCACTTTTACCTCAAATAAAAAATGCAATGTTTTTTCAACATGTTTGGTTTTATTCAAATGGGAGCGGGACAGGAGTGGGAGTAATTTTGAGTGGGAGCGGGATGGGAGTGGGAGTCATTCTACGGGAGTGGGCCAGGACGGGATTAATTTTTTTACTCCTGTCCGGGATTGGGACGGGACGGGATTTTTTCTCTGGGAGTGGGATGGGACAGGAGTGAAAATCCGTTCCCGTGTCATGCTCTACTGCACACTGTCTCATATAAGCGCAGATGGATTTGGTGTGTGTAATGTTGGACCCATTGGTAAGACAAACACCCTTTTCCACAAATAAAGACACTCACATAAAGTTGCATTTAAATTTTTTTATTTAAACCCCACATGGCAAAGGTGGGTTGTGCGCACAGATCACAACATAAATTCCAATAATGGCATTAAAATCGGAACCATCTGTGCGTAAAGGACGCATCGCACTCCGTGGCCTGGCTCTTTCTTTCATAGATGTTGGCATATAAAATAAATTTGGCTCACAAAACTGAATATTATAATATTCATATGTAGGCCTGACTCCAGATTAAATATTTACAGAATCTTAATGATGTGAGGAAATCAGATAAACAGGTAATTTTGAGTGAAAGGTTCTTTTATTTTATTTTTTATTTTTTTGTTAAAATTTTTGAAGTAAATAACTAATCTGATCACTAAAATGAATCATCTGGTCAGCCGTGCCAGTGCTGCAGCAGCAGGACGGAGAGAGGACAAAGAGACATGTCAGGTGTTGTGCCATAGAATGCACCCCTGCCGTAGAATGCACCCCCTGACGGGAGCATGGTTGAAAGTACACAACAAGGCGAAATAATCCAAGTTTACCTTACCATTGGACTGATTCTAAAGCTTGTGCCTTTAATGATTTCATTCAGGCTATTCAGATATGCCGAAAACAATAGCCCTCTGATTCAGAATATTTGCTGCCCTGAAAATATAATGTTCTCTAACTTAACAGCTGACTGTACAGTTTATATACCCAAGTACACCTCTATATGTGCATTTTTTAAATACCTAAAAACAGAATGAAAGTTTGCTGCTCCATTTGACATGTTGTCATGATCCAATACAATGTTTTTTTTTAATGTGAGATATTTTTTTTCCACTTTAAGAAGCTAATGAGTGGATGGGATGCAGGGGATGCATTCTATGGCAGGGGTGCATTCTACGGCATTACACCTATCGAGCTGCGCGAGGAAGAAGGAGGATAAGCGGGGAGACGAATTGAATGTCTTGTTAACTGTTTACTGGATATTTAATTTAATGCAGTTTCAGCTGTGTTAATTCGGTCAGGTTGTGTGTCCAAACGCGCTCATCAGATAAGATATAGATCATAATATATCGATATAGATCTAAATGTATGAACTGACTCAGATTCTTAGTTGTTGTTGATTATTTATTGCACTGAAATGTGCCTGACACTGTGGAAACCTGCCGGTGAGGCAGTGGTGACGTATGCGTAATACACCGCCACTCTACCAAAGTACCACTAGACCAGCTGCACGCCGCCTGCGCTGAAAGCTGACCAGGTTTGAATCAGTGAGCTTTCAGCGCACTTTACACGCCAATGGCGAGCACGAAAATGTCACTGCGCCCACTGATTCTGTCAACACCTCCCCCTGTCACACCACCACGCCCAACTTGGCGGACCTCGGCGTGCCTCAGTCTACGAAAATACCAAACTGGCTGTGCGCCGGGCTCCGTCAGACAAAAATACCACTGCGTTGGGTCCGCCACTGTCTGCCGCATCACTGGCTGACACGAAAATAGAGCCCACAATCTGCTCTAGTACAGGTAGACTTTCACTAGCCTGGCTGGTCCATCCTGTTGCGTGAATCACTTGCCGTTCCTTCCCACAACAGTCTGGACTTCGGCCCATTCGGAGCGTGTATTCCCGATCAGAAAAAAAACGGGCCGGAAATCGTTTATATCCAACGTCTTCTGCGGATCTAAACGATTTCTGCCGACTTTGCACAGTCAACTGCAGAATTAACGGCATTCTGATCGAACGGGGCTTTGATAAGTCCCGCAGCATGTGTTAGACGTCACCATCTACACATGGACCAATCAGGGGCTGCCTTTCCCTGTTGTCTGGGTAACAGTGGAAACACAGCCACTGATTGGCGCGGTTATTTTCTGATCGGGAATACACGCTCCCAATGGGCTGAAGTCCAGACTGTTGTGGGAAGGAACGGCAAGTGATTCATGCAACAGGATGGCCCAGCCAGGCTAGACTTTTACTAAGTGCTACACTTATTTACTATTATTATCTAACCTTTGTCCAGACTCCTTTCCTTTATACTCCTATCCCCTTTCTCTGCTATTCACATGTCTCAGGTGGGTTCGAGCTGGTGGGACCAGATTGGTGTCCATTTACACTGCATACAGTAGCACTCTGTTTTCCCTGCCTCTGTCCTCTCCTGTTTCATTCCTCTCACATTCTCACCTCTCTTAACCTCTCTTCACCACAGCAGCCCTTTCTCCCTCCTCACACTTTTCTTTCACTTCATCTGGCCTCTTCCATTCGAGCTTCCAGCTTTTCTCACATCTATTTGACAATAAACCAAGTGTGTAACAATCCTTATTTAATGCTGAAGAGATTCTCTGTAAAATGATCACATCAATTAACCTAACTGTTAGAGGGTAAAAACTTCTACTGACTAAATGATTCATCATTAAAACCTGCAAACTAAAAATTATTATCACATTACAAGAAGATACACACATTTTCATAGTAGATTCATAATTAATAAGCTAATGGTAATGGTAGGTCCTTAGTTGTAATGCAGGCTAATGATAGAGATCAATGTCTCAAATCAAATGTAAACCTTCTCACACCACTATTCTGAGAGTTTTGTGCAGCTGGTTGCTGTTAATCTCAGTTGGATTATTGTCATCGAAGGTGATCATTTATTAATTAGTATATAAAGAGAATTTTAACCTGTGCCCATATCTACTGTGAGGCACCATACTGTGTAGTAACTCAGTATTGAGTCATCACCTAACTATTTGTTTTCATGTTGATTTGTCCAGAGGAGGTTCACTGACATTAATGACAGATTTGAGGAGATCAAGAGGACACAGCTGGTTCAAAAGTTGGTTTTAGTCTGAATTGCTCAGCTGTTTCGCAGCACTATGACAGCATAGACTGTACAGGGATTGAATTTTTCAAAAACATTTTGAAACTTTCAGACTTACAAGTTTAGTGATTAGAAGCACACTGTAGCTATTTTGTAAGTAGGCCTAAGTCTCACCCCAACTCCACTTCATGGCTGGCAGACCAAAATTAGGGTTTAGTCAGCATTTTCATCATAAGGATTGTTAATGATAGGCTCCAAAACTATGCTTCAGAAACAACTGAGTGACATCAATTTGACGCCAGACAATATTGATGTTTTACACAGCCTATGGGCAAGAAAGAAAAAATATCAAAATGGAAGCATCCCACACAATCTTTTTATGAGGCAATGACTTTTCCAAAGAAGTTTCAGTCACAGTGCTGGTGATTTGGATAAATCATAAATTTGAACATCCTTAGAAACAGATGATGGCATGAAAGTTAACCATGTTTATGAGTAAATGTTATAAATGTAGCCCCAGCTTAAGTTTAGTCAGGAAGATTGCCTGCAAGGCTGCTCAAGTGTCTTTTCCACTGTCATGCTCACTGACTTCCCTGGCTGTCATCACTCAGGGCAGTTACTGGTTAATCAGCCTTTCACCGGTGTCCTCTTTATCCAATAGAATGGTGGCACACCCTCACCTTCATCCAATCACCGTTCTGCTCTCTTTTCATAAATGATTTTTTTCATCATTCTTTCATACTGTTGGTTTGTTTGCACCCTCCACCAATCGCTAAAGACCTTCTGTCAAGCAACATTCTAATAATTGTCCTGAAAATGTTCTTATTATCTTCTAATTGTCTCTCCTGTTTGAAATGTGTTGCTCTATTGCTGTCTTGCATTTTCTTAGATAGATAGAGAACTTTATTAATCCCCGAGGGGAAATTCGGTAATGCAATCAGTTAGACTGATTGTGTTACTCTCTCATCAAACTTTCTATACATCGCAATTATATTGTTATTGTGATATTTTAGGGCTAAAATAATCACGAAGTGAAAATCTGATAGTGTTATATCCTCTCTGAATCATTTAAGGTGACATTTTGCAGCAAATAAGTCAAATAAGTCAAATAAGAGAATAAACTGTTTGCTGGAGGTTGTGTTCCTCCTGCCCTTAGCACTGTTTCAGCAAGGATGCCTCATAACAACAGAAAAACTTCATAGAAAATGATGTGTCTACAAAGACTGTTGGAATAAAATCAAATTTTAAATACTTTCATTTTTAAGAAACTATGTGCCCTCTTTTGCTAAAAGTTAGTACCTAAATGGTCTCTTTCATCTTTGTTTTTTTCTTTTATGTCTCCTCTCTGAGCTCTGAAGTTCTGACCTGTCCTCCTGCTACCGTGCTGCTATGCTAAATCTGGGATCTTGTTATACACTGCATACTGTATATAGGCTACACCCAGATTAGTAACTGAACTGGGTTAGTTCTTGCAGGGCTTGATCCATTACTTTGTGGTTTCAGAGGACCCAAACACCTCTGGGAAAGCACACCTACTTCCATTAAAAGTCTAAAAAGTGCAGAACAATACAGAGGAAAGTGTGCGGTGGATAGTTCATTTTTTAATCATTCTTGTCTTTAGTTTGACTATCAGCTTAAGACTTTCTCTCATGCAGGTGTTTCATTTTAGTTGCAGGAATCATTTAGTTTGCAACAGCAATGGAGCAAATAAAATGTGCCCGTACTAATTACAAGTATACATGGAATAACTATTTCACTCACTTTGCGTCATCTCTAAAGTGAATTTTGACATCTTACTGTCTTGTTCAACAGCAAATTGACAAAGTAAGTTGCCATCCCCAAATTGCAGTGAGGCATTTAGCAGCTTTAGAGTCAGATTTCAGCAAACAGAGTAGAAAGAAGAGGCTCTACAGCTTCAGACAAACAGCAGCAGCAGTCAAAACCCACAGCTCTAAGCCTTGAGTCTTGTATAGTGTGTGGAAATGGTTCAAAGGGGGACTCACAGTGTTACTTTTTATACTTGTATCATTGGATCCTATAGTTTTTCTGGTTCTGCAGTGGAGGGTGAAAGTCACTGAAAAGCTGCACGAATTACTCGGTCACTGAGCGGCTGTGTGGGGCGGAAGTTGTCCCCCAGCAACCCATCATTCCCCTCAGGCAGCTCTGCGCCCTTAGCGTGAGATCGCAGCCTCCGAAACTCCTCAATCTGCCAGAGCAAAACAGAAAATATGTCTTTTAAATAGACAAGTCATACTTTGTTTTTATTTTGGGATGACTTCACACCAACAATCATATTGCTTTGTTCCAATTCAGATGAAGAAAAATAAATTATCCATGATTGCATTTTCCCATTAAGTCATATAAAGTTCAAGTGGAAATATTTTAAACTGGGCCAAAGCACTCTCCATCATAGGGCTGTCCTTACTCCATTATATCACAGCCTCTTTTTCTCACCACACAGATTAACAATGCCGTTCACACTGGGTGCACATTGCATATTTGAAAGCTGGTGTTCTGGTTGAAAGAGTTACTCTGCAGTCTGACAACTTTCAACTGAATGTGTCAGTGGTTGAAACACTGAAAGAGTCCTCACGATTGCATCTTTGTTGATCTATTTTTTCATTACAAATGCAAAGTATATGTCTTTAATGAAAAACCAAAGGCATTAGTGGGAGGCCTGTTTGGCTGAAAGTAGATGACAGGGTCAACAGTCACTGGCTTTAAGATGCCTAATAACATTAACCAGTTAACCTACAAAAAAAAAAAAAAAACTTGTTGGTTGACTCGGAGCAGCAGGGTGGTCAAATATGTCAAAGAATAAGCAAATTTGTTAAACGTCTAACTACTAACTACTTCAGCGCCTGTCTAGCTGACCTGCCCTATTGTTAGATAACTTTTACTGCAGTGTGAGATCAGCTTGGCTTAAGTGGAGGTTCAAATTATGAGAAAGACAAATTCCCTCGACTCAACAGGCTGGATGTTTTCGAGTCCTGTGAAGCTGCTATGCCTAGCACCAGCTCTTCTACTGATGTTTGATGGATGTATATATTGAGTAATGTCAGCCCATTATTATGCTAACCATCAGTTTGATTACATGTACACTAAACTGAGCTACTATTATAGCTCGATTAAGTGATTGAAATGGACTTCTGTCCTTGTCCCAGTTTAAAAGTACTAGTTTTGAATCGAATTATTGATGCATGTCTGTTTCATGTGTTATGAAACCCAGTATTTAAAATATACTGTTAGTGTTTTGCATTGAGGTAGAATGCATTATAAATCATACATTTATAGGACATGCTTATAACACTTTTATAGCATTCAACTAATAAACATTGCTACGAGTTATAAATGGGCTAATAGTGTATTTATACACTGAACAAAAATATAAACACAACACTTTTGTTTTTGCTCCCATATTTCATGAGCTAAACTCAAAGATCTAAGACTTTTTTTCTGTACACAAAAGACCTATTTCTCTCAAATATTGTTGACAAATTTGTCCAAATCTGTGTTAGTGAACACTTCTGTCTAAACTCATGCGTTTATATTTTTGTTCAGTGTAATTGGTAGGTTTACATTAAGTATTTCCAGAAAGTGTTGACTAGTATGTTTGAACTTGGAAGGAAGTCAGTAGAAAAATTCTCTGAATTAATGTGGCTGGTTATCATTTGTTACTTTCTTTACTTTGCATTTCAGAAGGATCCCTTTTTACCAGCAGAGTAATACAAGGATAGATTATTTGATGACATTCTGGTTATATAAGAGAAGGAAAAGATGCAGAGTTGCTTTTATGCCTTTTCTTTCTACAAAACACTCAGGGAGTTCTATCCCATCATTTGACTTCAAATATTTGCACTTCACTGGAAGTTTACTCAGGTTATTAGATGTTCGGGGGATGGGTGACAGACACTCCAGTATTGAGTAAAAGGAGCCTGGCTTGGGACATACTGGCAGACTGTGACCCTTACAACATAATAAAACACTGTGATGGTGTGACAATTATGACAATAAGAGTAGCTAAAATAGCTTTTATACTCTGGTATGGTACAGACCAACCTGGCCTGGAAATAGAAGCCTGCAGAAGTCTGCAAAAGAAAAGAGCCCACCAGTTTTACTCAATAGAATCTTTTAGATATGTAAGAAATAAACCAGCCCAAATCCTAACCAAAGTTTCCTGGTAGTTGATTGAAATTTTGTGGTCTACTGTGTCTAAACCGGAGGTGAATTCTAGAAGATTTAAAACAAAGTAAAAACCTGCATCTGCGATAAGCAATAGAGCATCATACAATGATGGAGTGGAGTTATCTAGAATTAGTTCACACTCACAGGCATCAAAGCTTTTAAAATGTAATTGAAAAATAGTACAAGAGTTCTTAGCTAGTATCCTCATGATTGCATGCCCAACATTAACAGAAGAGAGCACATTTTATGTTTGATGTGAAAGGAGAACAAACCTATGCCTGCTATTCTGATGGTGATCTATACTTGACTGATATGTATAGCTCCAAAAGCTTATGGAGGTACTTCATTGTCATTGTAGTAGTGTACAACATCTCGTTTTTTTCTTGCCTACAGGATATTATTTAATCAAAACTGAACAGAAAGAATCCAAAAAATTGACGCCCTGCTCATGTGTATCTTTGGCCAGTGATAGTATCAGTTTTACATACTCACTGTGTAATGACTGACCACACGGCCAAAACAAACACACAACAGTTCCTGTGCATTGGTGCACAGAAGGAAGATTTACTGCTGTCTTTTAACGTGCTTTACTTGTAGGCATAGCAACTGTTGAATGACACACACATTTTATGTGCACATATGCACAGAGCACACACTCATGGTCTTTCAGCAGTTGATAATAGCCGGATGTTGGAGGTGTGTAATTCTAGGTTAGCAGGACCTGCTGTTGTGCAACACTTGTTGATGTTTAGTCAGCAGAACAACCTTGAAATCTCTCTGCTATAATTCACTTTATGCTTCTTGTTGTGGTTTTCTACATTTCCCAACATGAACTTCAAAAACATCATGAACATCAATCTGAAGCAGTTTGAGTAGAGATGCAGGATAGTGTGGGGAGAGTGAAAAAAGGAGTGGTGCTGAGAAGGGCTGCTGCTTATTCTGAAAGTTAAAGCAAGTGACTCCTTGTTTGACCTGCAAACTCAGCAGCTGCAGCAAAATTTATAATGCAAAGATATTAAAATAAAATGTAACATGTAACTTTACTGATGCTAATTTATATGTGTGCTATTACTACAACCACGGAAAAAAAGTGAAACAAGCTGCTCCTAATCACTGGCTTTCATGAAATTACTGCGGTAGCTCTTGTGTCAGCGTAAATATGTGATAGTTTTCTGTATGTCTGGATATATTCTGGAAACATGAACAGCAAATAGCTAAGAAGTTACGCCTCACATTTTGTCTGTGAAAAATGTAACTGAACACAGGCTAAAAACCCAAAACATAAGTTGTTGCTTAATGCATATCAACCACTTCTTCCTCGGCATTATTTGTGTGCTTTTCACCCCCAAAGGTAAAGAGGAAGTTCAAGTAAGTTATTAGAGCGTAACCATTTCCAAAGCTGTTGTTAAAAGAAACAAACATGCACCCAAAAAGTAACCCTGGCCAACACATCTCATTTATAGATGTTTTTCCTTTTCTATTTGCTATTCAGGCAAGTGTTTGATTATATAAGTAATTCATAACTAATACTAATACATACAAGTATATACCAAGGTTAGCATTGTTAAGAAAAACTAACAAAAAAACGCTAACTTTAATATCAAAAACATTTTCTTTGAGACTGAAACAAGACAGAAAAAAAGGCTTTATGAAAACACAATGAATGAAACTGTACCATATGTTTCAAAAACAAACTAGAATAAAATCACATTTCAGGGGAGATGTCCCTTGTTCTCATCAGACACACAGAAACATTCTGGAGCAGCATCATGTATTACATTGCACCAGACCTCTTGACAGCAAAAGTTGAGACCATTTCTATTTATTATTCTGTATTATGAAAAGTATCTTCAAAAAGCCTACTTGGGGCTTTCTCTCAAATGTGAACAACACAGAGACAACTGTTGGCGAACATTGTCGTTGTCTGTTGCTGTAGTCCCCTCTGTAGCAAATCAATAAAGATCATTCATAATTGCTTAAAAAAAACAAAACATAAAAACTAATAAAAACTAAACTTAAACTATAGGATAAACTAAATATCCCCCCTAAAATAGGAACTCAAAATGACTTTTCATTAACTGAAACTTGACTAAAACTGTTATAAGGGCAAAAGTGACTAAAACTAAAGCATTTTTGTCCAAAGACAAAGACTTTATCTTAAACAGCTGCCAAAAGAAACATTGGTCACATCACATAACAAACCTACGTGGTCTCTAAGCTGCTACATGTATTTTGTATAGAATAGAAATAAAAAATGGTGCCAACTTTGTCATTCATTTTTGGCTTTTTGCACTGATGCTCTTCCTACACTTTTATTTATTTATTTATTATTATTATTATTTATTTTTTTTTATTTTTTTTTTTTGGGGGGGGGTAGTTTTATTTGCTCTGATTAAGCATGGTCCACAACAGTAGCCAAAATTCATGTTTGTTCACAATGACAAGTGTGAAATTAGGTTAATAAAGGTGCATTCTCCCTCTAAAGAACATTAAAGCTGTACTGATATACAGTCATCTGTAATCATAAGGGTAGCCTGAGACACTGGCTGGATAGCAAAAACTCATTTTTTTCTCTTGACATGAAGACAGAATTAAGTGTCAGAGGATGTCTATTATCATCATTTAAAGCAACCAGCTTGAAAAGAGCCTTGAGTCAGTAGGTGGTTTGCTGCTGGAGTAAATCTATTCAAGGTGATATGCAAGTGTGTGTGGAGGCTCCCTGTGCTGTGGTAAATACCTGAGAACCATGGGGTCATGACTGCCCAAGAAGGCCTGACATCAATACTGATGTTATGCTTATCTTTGACTGGGAAGCAGAAAATATATAAAATACTGTACCTTGAATGACAGGAAACGAGCAAAAAGATAAGACTCCAGATATTCCCCAAATCCCTCTCCAAGCTGCCATTATTACCCCTCTTGAATCCTGTCGCCACCCTGTTGATGCTGATAGTCACAGTGCACATTTGTCTAACCTCTAAAGTTCTCCACTAAAAGACTGTAGGTTTGATTTTATATCATTGTCTTACCTGCAACTGCGATATGGTCAGAGGGTATCGGTATAGGATCCAAGTTACGTTTTCACTACAAGGAGGTGTAGTCAGGGACCCTTCATACACCCAGTAGTCGCGCAGTAAGGGGTCTGAGGGTCAAGTAAATATTTTGTGTACAACATATTAAATACTTCAAAATGACAGCAAAAGACACATTTACAAAAGACTAAAAACCATAATTAATTCTCTTTCCTGAAAGAGACAGAACATTTTCTACTTGGATGAAAAGACAAACAAAAAAGACGATGTAGAGAAAATGTCAAAAATGAGAAGAAAAATAGAGGGCACAAAAGTTCCAAAAAGCCTCATAGGTCTTAAAGCTACACTACAGTTGCTGTAGTGGGCCACAATAGTTTTGCAGTTTTTGCAGCCTCTTCCACTGTTGCCTAGGGATGGGGATTTATGCCTGATTCCACATTTTTCAAAACCAGAAAAACAATAACCTTTGAGTTTATCTGTTATTGAAGTAATGTTATACTATGAGTAAAGTCATGTCATGTTGATTAAATCAATGGTGCACACACAGAAATAGACTGTAAAAAAAGTATTTGAATAAAATAATGGCTAACAGGTATTAAGCTATACAAAGAATTCTAGTGACAATGGCTGGTTGTGTAAAGAGGTCTGAAGTGTGGGTACATTTAACCAAAGCTGAAAACAAAGATAAAGTTATGTTGCAAAATAATTTCTTGAAAGGGAGGAAGACAACCTCCATGGCCAAACACATCAGCATTGTGCAACAAATCAAGCTATAATGCAGAGCCTTTAATGGTCTGCAGCTTAAAACAACTCTGGCTGCTACTGCGGGGCTGCCATCCTCCTCCTCCTCCTCCCCCATGCAAAGTAGCTGGAAAAAGCTCAGCCAGACTTAAGAGGAAATCCCTTCAGTTAGGCAGCACATTCAACATTGAAAATCACGTTGAAATCAGCCCGATAAAACTAGTTCTAACTGACCCAGGTGACATATAATTACATTGTAAGGTGTTCAAGGTTGGATCAGTGTCTCTGTATCTTAAAATGAGAAATTGTGAAATACGGCTTTACATGTTAGATCCTCAATCTGACCTGGACATTATATAAAAGGACGAAAGACAAAAGATGCATTAAATTGGTGCAGCATGCACATTCACCTATTGGTGACAACACAAGTTGAAAAATTTGGTATCCCTCACTTGTTATCCTTATATGATGTTGTTTTTACAAGCCAGCAGTGCCAACCTGGGATGACTCCAGCACATATTTGCTCCACAACTTTAGCTTTGCCTCACTCAGACCTAGGTGCTCTATTAACTGCACACTGTTTAACAGAAACACAGCTCTGGTTATGGTTAATTTTAATTCAGATGAGACAGAAGGATTTCTTGAGGGATCTTGAGCCCAATTAAAATTATTTTTTATACAAGGCTCACTACTCAACATACACTTGAAGTCAAGACTATCTGCTTACCTGGAAGGAGAGTATTAGGGTTGAAGCAGGGAATTATCTTACTCTTCCCCTGTTGGAACAAAACAACAGCAGTTATTGCCTCTGTGAAATTCATCTCAGAATAAAGAATCCTCCTTGTCTTATCTGTAAGATGTTGTTGTTTTCTAACCTTGTACTGCAGGTCCTGAAGAACTTCAGTGATGGCCTTCAGACCCGGATGTTCCTTACCAATCTGATGAAAAAACAAACAAAAACAAAAAAAACACCACATTTCAGGCTCCAGTTAGAAATCTATTAATGGACCTTGGACTTAGAAGCTAAAACACAATGAAAGACATCAACTGCTTCTAACAGATCAAGAAGATCCTGGTCTTTCCTCTGTATATTATATCTGTATATTTGCAAGAAGAAAACAGGAGATACACAATAAAGATGTCAGAAACAGGACACGTGAGGTTGTCAATGCGAGGACCATGACCTCAAGAGGTCAATGTTGTTCAGGCTGGAACCAGAAGGACTCACTACTCAATGTTTTTTTTTTTTTTTTTTTTTTTTGTCTTTGGTGCCCCAATGAGGCCACTTTTGAAGGTCTGATCAGGTTGACAGAGTTATGGCCCAACTTACTAAGGCGTAGGTTGATTAAATAGTGTCTGAAAGTTTTCCAGACTGCATTAAGAGTAAAACTTATGCACATGAGGACATAAGCTTATCAAGAGTGACGTTGTTCACTTATTTAGAAAAATGGCACTGATAACTCCAGGAAGAAAGGCACTTCAAGCCAATAACAAAGTGGATCATTAAGTGGAAACAATGAGGAGAAAAATGTTTGCCCCGGTAGATTCCTTTCAAACTCTCTCTTTCATTCATTTGAGAGGATAATTCATAATCACACATGAATGTTAAAATAAACACTTGTTAACTGGTCTTATCAACTGGTTATTCTATCATTGGTCATTATTACTTGGACCTCTTTTTGGATCTCAGCTGTTCAGAGGAATTAAGTGATCTCACCAGCAAAAGTTTTTTTTTCTTTGAGTCGCTTCACAGACTTTGAAGGTTAATAGACTATTTGAGTATATTAAACCTGCAAAGTTTTACAATTAAAATAGCATGAACAGCATGAAGACCATCTTATCTGGTAAGATCGCTTTATAGGTGAGATCCAAGGAAGTCAGCTGCAGCATACAAAGCTGAAGTCCAACTCAAAACTTCTCACCTGCTTATAGATATCTGCTTGTACTCTTGATACTTGTTGGTATTTCTGTATTGGGCATGGGCCAGTAACATGTTTCAAAGTTTGAAAAAGTCTTGGCTTCAAAGCCACCTTTTTTTTTCATCACGCAGCAGCAGGAGCAGTATAAGTCCACAGAGAGAAACCACTAAATCTGGGTCTTTTTCAGGGAACTCAGGCTGTGTCTCATTTCAGAGACCGCATCGGGATAAGCGCGCTTAAGCTTTCTTATTTCTAATGTTTTTGATTGTTGTAGCAGAGCGGATCAGTTCGTCTCTAAATCTATAATGTTAGGTTTACAGATTTTAGTGAGTTCAGAGATCATGCGCTCATGCAGCCTGAGCTGATTGTCTGCTGTTTTTAGATTTCTTTTATTTTCTTTGAAGACGCGCTGCGTCTCCAAGCGAGTCCAGCCTCTCACCCGAAATGCGCAGCTGTGCAGCGACACGCAAAGAATTCTGGGATACCAACAGTACGAAAGCGTGCATAAATGCATGCTTGAAAAATGCTTAGCGCGCTGTTCTTTGGGTGTCACAATGGCTGCTCGTGTCATTAGTCTGTAGGCCTGCTGTTCAACAAGGTGTAAGTGTTGCTGCTCCAGCCAACCAATCAGAAACCAGATGGGGTGGGACTAGTCACCCAGTCCACCAGAAATAGTCTTGTCTTGTCAGAAGACCAACACAGCGATGGAGATTATTTTAGGACAGTTCTTTGTGCACCAACATTAAAATAACAGAATCGATTCAGGCCATTATTAAAATACAAGACAACACAAGATTACTGACTGTTCTGCGCATGCGTGGTGTCCGTGCAGCTGTTTACCTGCTTGACTACACTTCCTCGTCAAACTTTTTGACTGATTATTGGAAACACGGACGAATTTTGTTCAATTCCTTAGCGGATTCTACTTATCTGTGGCTACCCAACACTGAGTTGGGACTTTGGTGACTGTGCGCACGATCGTTGATCCAAGGATGCAGCCGCCCCGCCCGCTCCGCTGCTGGCCCAAGGTCTGGGAGGGCCAAACCTGTGGCGGCTTGAGTTTTCCACGCACAGCCCTCCGCTGGCGTCAACGGCAACAACGCTCCAGGTTACTCCTCTGCTGCCGCAGCTGCGGCCGTCTCCTGTCCTTCTGCTGGTTCCTCATCCACCTCACACCCTGGAAATCCCTGGTCTCATCTCCCCAGGCCGAACACTTGAAGCACAGAGGTAAATCCACGATCTGATCTTCCTCAACTTCTGCCACAATCTCCATCTCCTCCGTATCCCTCAACGCTTACAACGCTTATAATTGGAAGCTCCATGGTAAGGAACATCAGAGCAAAAGGTGCCCACACGTACTGTTTCCCTGGGGCGAGCATTTTGGACATCCGAGATAAACTGCCTTCTATTCTAAATCGCCGTCCAGACTGCTCAAACCTGGTCGTTCACGTGGGATCAAATTATGTCAGCCAACAACAGTCCGAAATCCTCCGCGCAGACTTTCAGTTACTCATCTCTGCCTTAAAGGACACAGGAAAATGCATTCTTCTATCTGGTCCAATCCCGTCCCCCGGGCAGGGCTGTGGACGTTTTTCCCGCTTACTGTCTTTACACACCTGGCTTAAAAGAGAATGCAGTGCATGTGGATTTTATTGACATCTTCGACCTCTTCTGGAACCGTTCCCAACTGTACAGACATGATAGACTCCATCCAAACCTACGTGGTGCAAAACTGCTTTGGGCAAATATTGACTATGCTTTGGTTAATCTGCAAAATGCCTGCTGGACTGTCTGAGGCAGTCCATGCCACCATTAGGTAATCCACACACACACTCAAAATGATGTTCCGTGTCATTGTACATTCACCGATAGGGTTCCTGCTACAAGCAACATTTCTGCAACATCTGGCCAAACTCATCCCCTACCACTCATGGGGCATGGACTGATCCTACTCCCAGCTGCTCCTCCGGTTAATCACATCCCAGTCTGCCAAACAATCAGACACCATAAGTCTGTCTACAAAGCATCTCGCTCAGTAAATTACAAATATCTTATAACCATTACTGACACTACAATTCCATCTTGGCCTCCCATCTCCTTTAAATTTGGTTGGCTGAATATGAGTTCTCTCTCAAACAAATGATTTATCTGTCAAAATTTTATTTTATCACAAAACCTTTCTTCCCTGAGTCATGGCTTACCCCTGATGACCTCTCCCCTCTAATTGAAACCACTCCTCCAGGCTACTTTCACTTTCATCAACCCAGGTTACATGCACGAGGTGGTGGGGTTGCTGTCATCTGCAAAAATGCCCTCAAGTGCTCCTCTATTTCTATAGGCCCCTTTTTATCTTTTGAATCTTTGGCTTTTGTGATAGATGGCAGCTCACCGGTCTTGTGTCTGCTATTATACAGACCACCCAAACCAAACATTGATTTTATCAGTGAGTTTTCTGATCTCCTTTCCAACATTGCCCCAAAGTATGACAATACTCTTATTCTTGGAGATTTCAACATTCATATTTGCTGTCCCTCTGAAGCCATGACTCATGATTTTATAAACTGACTTGAATCTTTTGGTCTCCACCAGTCTGTGAATAGCCCAACCCATGGTTAAGGCCATACATTAGATTTAATTCTCTCCTCAGGTATCTCTATCTCAAACCCAGTAATAGAAGATTTTCATGTATATGATCACAAAGCAATCATTTTTTATCTCCATTTGCCTCATCTCAGTATTGAGGCTGCACCATCTTATGTAAGCACAGAGGAAATTCTCTCTCTTTTCACCAGTACTGTTTTGGCCACCCTTGACTCTGTTGCGCCTCTAATAACTAAAAAACGTAAGCCTCTGGCCTCACCATGGCTTATTAAAAATACAAGAGAAATTAGGAGGGCGTGCAGAAGGGCAGAGCGAAGGTGGAAGCGGGACAAATTGCAGATCTCATTCCGAATCCTGAACTCTGTCATTTCCTCCACTCCCACCTCCTGCCTTGAAGCATCTGACTCTAAATGTGAGGAGTTCCTAAAATTCTTTAGTGAAAAAGTCATTAACATCAGAGCTAGTATCAATCCATCTGTAAATAGCCTATCCATCTCCTCTGAAAATACTGCAGTTCTCAATTCTTTTAACTCCATCATTTTAACAGAACTTCATATTATCTCTTCTATGAAGACCTCCACCTGTTCTCTTGACACTACTCCAACTAAACTCTTCAAAGAAGTCATTGGCACTATTAGCTCTAGTGTTCTCTCAATTATCAATAGCTCCCTGGAAACCAGTCATGTTCCCCAATCTTTCAAACATGCAGTTGTCCAGCCACTTTAAAAAAAACAGAATCTAGATCCTTCAGTCCTCAACAATTACAGATCCATATCCAAACTACCCTTTCTTTCCAAAATACTTGAAAAAGTTGTTTTTAACCCACTGTTGTTGCACCTGGCTCAAAACTGCATTTTTGAAAAGTTCCAGTCCGGTTTCAGAGCTCTTCACAGTACTGAGTCTGCATTACTGAGAATAACTAATGACCTCCTTGTAGCTGCTGACTCAGGTAACTGCTCCATCCTCATGCTCCTCGATCTAACTGCAGCCTTTGACACAGTAGATCATTCAGTTCTTATTCACAGATTAAAACAATGGGCAGGAGTCTCTGGTTCTGCCTTAAACTGTTTTTTATTATATTTGTCCAAGAGATCATTCAGTGTCTTCATTAGAAACTCCTCTTCTTCCTCAGCCCCCATCTCCTGTGGGGTCCCCAAAGGTTCCATACTTGGTCCAATTCTCTTCTCCATCTATTTGCTTCCCCTTGGTCACATTATTAAAAAGCATAACATATCTCTTCATTGTTATGCAGACGACACACAGATCTACCTCCCCCTTGAGCCTAATAACTACAACAAACTATGACCTTCATAACTGTCTTCATGACATCAAATTCTGGATGGCTGCAAACTTTCTCCAGCTCAATGAAAACAAAACCAAAGTTATTCTATTTGGACCACAGCATTTGACCAACATTATCGCCCCTCTTCTTGGCTCTTTGGCCCCCTCTGTCAAATCACATGTTAAAAATCTTGGTGTCATTTTTGACTCAGGATTAAAGTTTGACAAACAAATAAATCAGGTCGTAAAATCAAGCTTCATGCAGCGCCGCATCATCTCAAAAATCAGATCATTTTTTATTACTTCTGACCTGGAAAAAGTCATTCATGCCTTCATAGCCTCTTGCCTCGACTATTGTAATGCATTATATTTTGGTATCACTCAGTCTTGTTTATCTCATCTCCAACTAATTCAAAATGCAGAAGCCAGAGTTTTAACCAGAACTAAGAGGAGGGAACACATTACTCCCATTCTTGCCTCCCTTCACTGGCTGCCTGTTAGCTAAAGGATTGAGTTTAAAACCCTGATGTTTGTCAATAAAGTGTTGAATGGTCTTGCCCCCTCTTACATCACAGAACTCTTGTCCCCATATCACACAATGAGAGAACTGTCATATGTGGCCTGTGCTAATCTGGAGCTTCAGGAGTGTTTTTGTTTTTATTCTTATCTTGTGTCTCATACTTGTGGATCTTATTGTATCTTAACCAGTGCTCTGTGGAACTTGACTGCTTATTGTACTTATTTAGCTATTTATTGCTGATCCTGCTGATCTGTGAGTACTGACAAGGGAATGTGGTTGTCTACTGGCTGCTATTAATGTCTTGCACTTGTCTGGTTTGTTTGTCTGCTGATTTGTGTGTTTGGATGGATCAAACAGCAGGGTAACTGTGAACGGAATTGTCCTTAGGGAATAAATAAAGTTGTCTGAATCTGAATCTGAACTAAGATCGTCTGACCAAAGACTTCTGTCAGTCCCACAATCCAGGACTAAGTGTTATGGGGACAGGGCTTTCTCTATCGTGGCCCCAAAACTGTGGAATTCTCTCCCTCCCTTCATCAGTTTCTCCCCCACCACTGAAATTTTTAAGACTCAACTTAAAACCCACTTTTACTCCCTAGCTTTTAACTGTCCCTAACTTTTAAAGGTCAACCACTTCCCATGTAGGCTCTGTGAGCTCTGTAGGTCGGTAGATCTGTGTTGTCTTTATCATTGTTATTATTATTGCTGCTGCTATTGCTATTGTTATTATTATTATTATTGTTAATTATTATCACTATAATGAATAATGATGATAGTGATGGTATTGAAAATATATTTTTATTGCTATTGTTAATATTATAACTGTCACTCAGTCTGCTCTTCTTCATCGTCTGTTTGTTCCTTTCTTTTGTTTTGTTTTTTCCTCTGTGTTGTTGTAAAGCACTTTGGATCAACTCTGTTGTGTGTAAAGTGGTATATAAATAAAGTTGAGTTGAGTTGAGTGGAGTTGAGTTAAGTTGAGTTGCTGTGATATTGTAAAGCCATGGTGTTTCTGCTTGAGGTTGTCATACCATCTGACTGTCAGACCTACCCATGCCTGGTTCATATAGGTGTATCATAATTTACCTGCACGAACAGGGAAATGATGAGGACTCCATTCTTCTTTCCAAGAGCGTCTTCCAGACAGTTGAACAGTGTGCAGTTCCAGTGAATGAGATGGAGCTACAGGTAAAAAATAAAAGCAGAACAAACCCTGTTTTTGAGATGTTGTTCTTGTTGACAGGTGAAGGAAACTGGAGTCAGTAAGAGAGTGGAAACTACCAGCTGGGCTTGACTAAAGGGTTTTGAAAGGGCTCTTAAGTCAGATTAATGTGACAGGGAAGCAGGGGTGTACAACTTTGACCTTTTGACCACAAAGCAAATCAATTCTTAGACTGAACAGACTGAAAGCTGTCTGTTTTCATCATACTTCAGAAAACATTGGAAAACAAAAGTTATGTATAAAATCTTAATTATCTCAAAGATTAGTCTGTATATTCAGCTGAGACTTCACTGAAATTGATTTTGTGATAAACAAATGTGATAAATCCTTCCATCCCTCTATCACTAACCCAGTTCTTATGCAATATTTTCTTCACCAGTGTCTCATTAAAAATATAAAATAAATGCATTACATGCATGTTTATTTCATATTTATTTTATGCTTGCACAGGTGAAATGATTAATTTGTAGTTAAATGTTTTTAAAGTGCTAATGTTGGTGCCCTTTTTACACCATGTTAGCCCAACAATGTGAAGTTTAAGGTCTGTATATGCACATAAGCATTGACTTTAAATCTATAGTACACTAAGTCACTTTCTTAATCATAACTCTAATGGTCCAACCTTCTTGATTGCAGGATGAGAAATCTTACTCATGTGCCAACAATAGTTTTCAAATAAAACAACAAATGCTAAATTAATTTGCCAAGATTCTGAGAAAAATAGTTGAAAAGTCTACAGCAACTGGTTAGCAGGCTAATAGCCCTGATGTCATAAGTAACACTGCTTTAACATGTACTCCACAGCGCTCCTGCACTTGCCTTGATTGCAGGACAGCATTGGTTGTTAAAATATCTGTTCTTATTTAGCCAACTAATTAACCTTCCTCCTGTGTTAGCTTTTACTATGCACCCACCGTGTTAAGGGTTGGTCTTTACCCGTGTCTTAAATCAGCTGTAAATTACACTAAAAACAATTCTCTTTCATCCAATTTGGTTCTCATCTCTAGGTTACCTTGTTAGGCTTCATTATCCATGAAAATATTGCTTATAACAGTTTTTGTAGTGGGCCTCTGGGCCTTTCTTTGTCAGTATACCCCTTACACAGACACCCATACTGAACTGATCTAACATGTCTAGACATGCCCGACATTGTTTTTTGTGCAGGGAAAAACATGGCAAAATGCGAATTTCCTAAATCTCACATGATTGGAAGAGGATCTGACTGGTGCCTGACAATGCACATATGATTTCAGTTTTTGCTCTGATTAAAGATTTTTAATCTAACAGTGACCCTAACATGACAAGTGCCATAATTTTAATAATTAGTCAATAATAAGTAAATTTAATTTTTTTTGTTTTTATTTTGTTGAAATAAAGGTTCCTGACAAATTCAAAAAGTCTTGATACAAAAAAAAGCTTATTTAAGTGGTTCTTTTAAGCATTTAAAATCAAAAACGGGTTGGTGCAGACCGTAACACAGGAGGAGGGTTAAGCATCGGATGAAAATGTCTTTGCCAAAATGCTTCCCAGTGATGCTGAAAAAAATTTAAGTCTTTCTCCACTAAATCAGGAATTACAGGAACTATTTTCCACTGATTGATTTGACATGACTTGTGTGTTATGTTTGTATCTGGCGTTGCTCTTGTTTTGCAGTGTAAATAACCATTGTCAATATGTTATGACCAATGCAAATCAAGTATTTTAACACTGCCTAAGGGAATAAAAAGTTTGGTAATAATATAAGATGTTGGGCCAAAAACACTCCCCTTCAACAATCTGTCAGCATCAATCACACTGACTGTTGATTGACGTGAGTCATCTTTCAGCATTAACTATCCAGTTGATGTAATGAATTATTATACCCTGCTTTATGGTGATCTCTCTCTCTCTTTGTGTGTGTGTGTGTGTGTGTTACCTCCATCGGGAAAGCTTTGAAGTTGACAGTGTGCTCTGATCCCCTCTGGTTCTCTTTGCCCCAGTGGAATCGAACCTCATGCAGCTCATACTCATGATCACTAGGCAATGGACCCCCAGTTACCACTGATGTAATCAGGAAACCCAGGGCATTGTGGATAAGAGTGAAGTACATACAAGAGAGAGAGGCAAGTCAAAGCAGTCAAAGGTAATCCAATTGAAAGGAAACAGGGTCATTAACAGTGATTTTTTTACACTCAGCATTAAACCACAGTGACCGTCAGCACAGACTACCCCTGCTTTCTCATCACTTATTAAATTAAAAAATAGTCCACAGTATATTGACTTGTTGTCCTGTCTCTGAAGAGTTACCTGACTTTGACTTGAGGATGATGCGGACAGTGTGCCCATCATTGATGACCTCACAGTCTCGACATACCACATAGTTTGGTGATAATCCAACATCAAGAAGAGACGGATCGTACTGAGCCTCCCTGGAGTTCAAGTTAATCGGAGACTGATACTCGCCGTTGGCAGCTGGGAAATGGAGCCCCCACTCTACACCTATGAGTCCGAACAGGCACAAGTGTTACATGTTAACTGGACCTCACATGTCTGTGGGTGAAATATTTTATTTCCTTTTGTTTAATAGCAAATGTAATACGTGCAAAACTCAAACCCTACACAAAAAATCATAAAGCAATAAAACACAAAACAAATGTTATCAGATCTAGGAAAGTCCAGTTTACTCAGGCCCTAGCAAGTAAATGCAATACTCGCAATTGCCATATGCAAACTGATTTACTTGTACATAGCTTTTTTTTTTTTATTAATTACTGGGCTTTGTAAATAGCTTTCTTCATAATATTCTGCATTTTGTACTAACTACTGTAATTTCTTATCCATCCTAATTTCCTTTGTACTTCTATTTTCCTTCTATGAACATTTTAATATTCAGAAGTGAGTGTAATGACCCAGTTTCCCCAGGGATTAAATTTCAAAAAGTATTCTGATTCTGATTCTGAAATGAAGCCAGGTAATCATGTCCCTTCAAGGCTACAGTGGACCAGCTCTCCACAGTGACTGGCTGTTTACTACTCTGAGGCAATGAGGGCCGAGAGGACAAACCACATTCTCCCTACGCTCATTAACTAAAGCCTTAACAATTTACTGTCAGTACATGGAAACACTGAACTGAGGGGTTCACAACAACCAAAAAAAAAAACATGACAGGGTTGAGAAAATTTTAGGAGGGCTGTAAAAGTCAGATTTGGTCATTAAGGTGGCAAAAGATTGCACTGCTTTGCTGTAAATCTTTGCCATACTATTGGCCAATTCTAACTGTAGTTGACCGTTTTTTAAATTAAATTACTGCATTAGGAAAGCTTATAAATGAGGGTGAAGTCTGTATATGTCAGGGCTGTGACTAACTGGTGACTTGGTGTTTCCACCTCTCGCCTGATGACAGGTCGTGGATGGATGTTCTTAGCACTACTACATATTAAAACCTTGTATCTCCAAAACCACTTCTTTTCGTGAAGTTAATACTATAAATATCACAATTATATTGTCATCATGATATTTTGGGCATCATAACCATGAGGTGAAAACTTGATATCACAAAAGCCCTAATTCTAACCATGAATACAAAACTGCTACAGATCCCATACTTACAGGTAGAATTAAGGGTTCCGTTTAAGATTGCATTCCTCAATGCTCAGCAAAAACAGCAAGACAGAGAAAACACAAATACATCACAACTTCATCATATAATGTAGCTGTAAGGATGAATTAGATATTCCTTAACTGTACATATGATGAGTCCACAAATTTCCTCTGTGAAATTAATGTAATTGGAGGAGAACATTTTCTTCCAGATTGTATTTGGAGGCTGTTTGAAATAAGAGAGAGCAGGTGAGTTAGAGTAGACTAGTCTCCCTTGTCGTCCTTAGTGGTAGAATGAGTATTCAGCTACAGTTGGCTCACACTGTCCTGTTCTACTTCTGGGATTGTGTGCCCAGTTCTTTGTAAGTGACTCAACACTTAATATCTAGTCATTATTGTGGTGCAGTGGCGATTGCTCTAAGACTGCAAGGGAAGCCCAGCTTCCCTTAAAATGTCACCCCCCAAAAAAAAGAAAAAGTGGTGAAATACGTACTGCTGTGTGTACATTTCATTAACTAAATACGCGCTAGGAAGCCTTCATCTTTTGTTCAGAATCAGCTTCTTATCACAGTGTGATAAGAAGCTGATTCTGCACAACTTCGTTCTCATTCATCCTCGCAGCGCCTCAGCGCTTTAAACAGCCGGACGCTGGGCTTCTGCTGACTTCAATGTGGAAGCTCAAAGTGGGTTGTTCCAGCAGCGAAACTAGACGCTCATTGGATAAATGCTGGGCTTTGTCCCGCCCATCGGACGCTCGGCTTCACTGGAGTTCTACGGCGAGAGGGCGGTCCCGACTGTCTCCCGGACTCCGAGCTTCTGCATCCATGATTGGATGAGCTGTCTGAGGCGAAATCCTTGTTTGATTGACAGCTAAACAAGCGAATCAGCGATCTTGAAGAATAAAACATCTACTAAAGCATTTTCCAAGTTATTCATTCCGTTGTTCTTAACTGCTCCAGAGACTTTACCGATCCTCAGCGACTTTTGTCTTTGTTAAAAACGACTGCCGTTGTGTTTGGCGACTCTTTCCTGTTACATACAAATAAACAAACACAATTATGATGTAGGCCAGAAAAATGAGCTTCCCCTCCTTGAAAGACCAGCAGCCGCCACTGTTGTGGTGAAGACAGTTTTTATTAAATGTTGATGATGGAAGGTCTTACATTGACAATTGGTTGCATCATTGTTGATGTCCTTTAGTCACTTTGTGCATTGCCTTAACGCTGCTTAGCAGTATGGACTTGAAGCACTTTGTGTCTCTTACTGATCTTGTTTCCTCTTGTCAAGATCTTTGCGTGTATTGTTCTTACTCTTAAATGTACGTTGCTTTGTGTAAAATTGTCTGAAGAGAATTCAAACATGAATATTATGAATAGGCAAAGCACAGGTTACTCGTCTTGCTGCTTTTATGGACAGAAGTATTTTGGGGTCTTATTATATTTTTTGCATGAAATGTTAAAATGTTATGTTGTATGGTTTTTATCTTAGTAGTACAGGGTTACCTATACTAAAAATGTTATCTAAACCAGTGGGCATATAAGCCTACGCTCCAGCCTTAACTTCTTTCCAATGTTTTTAAACCTATATTTCCTTAATTACTGAATGAATTTGAATGATGTAACACGTCGTGGGTATTCATTCATTCTCTTGTTCAAAGTTGTCACCATTGGTTAAGTGGGGAGGTTGGATTTGGTGCCTTTGTTTATGACAAATACTTTGTGGAGGGCTCTCTCACTGTCTCACTGCTTTTAAGAGCCCACAATCTTTCAGTTCAAGTCAGTCTTGTGTGGGTGAAGCTACCTTTGTTTATCTTGTCCTCCACATGCTTAAGTAGTGACTTTTGATTTAAAAAATCTCATCTTGCTGACTTTTGACAGTCAAGGGTGTCATTTATTGATATAAAAGTAAAGGACTGTTTCTCCAGCTACTTGACTGACGCCTACCCCGCACACTAGTTTCAGGCTTTAAAAATTAGGATATAAAGGTTTTCAGTCTTGCCACTTATGGTCTTGTTGGCTTTTGGACATCATTAAAATGTATTAACATGAATGTTGGTCTTTTTCATCCGTACAAAAATCCCTTAATAGGAGCTTAGAAGCTAAGCGCAACAGAAAAGTGTAAAGTTAGGGTTGGAGATACATCCAATCTGTTTAAGAGCACATTCAAAAAGATTTTAAAAAGCATTATATGTTATGATAAACTTTAAGAGACAGGACCAAAAAGGCAATTATTTTTTACTTTTACAGAGCAGCATAAAAACTTAACCATTGACCCTGGAAAACCCATCTGTAGAAGTTAACAGGTTTAAACAGAGCGTAAAGACACAAGCAGCTTTTTAAAACCTTTCAAAATTTTTGATCCCTACATCCATCTGCACGATAATGAAGAGCAGCCTACCTTCCTCATAGCCCCAGTCCAGCTCATCTTTCCCTGGGTTAGAATCTGACTCCTCATTCATGTTGTCAGCCATGGTGTTTGGCAGTCTGCTCACTGTGAGTAGCAACCAGTCTGTCCTCCAGACTCCCAGTCACTCTGCTTTTGTCTGCTCTCTTGGACACAATCTGAAGTCCCTGCAGTTTGCTGGATGGATTCCCAGCCTAAAACAACTCCCAAGGGTTTCTCTTTCTTTAATGGCTCTCTCTTCCTTTGAGTTCCTTCTTTTCTCTGTTCTTTTCCCTCCTGTCACCTCCTTGTATGCCTTGCAGCTCTGGTCCTCTACTAACTGTTAGTGCTGAGCTCTGTCTCTATGTATTTTTCTCTCTTGCTCCTCCTCTTCCTCTCTCTCTCTCTGTCTGCTTTGCTCTGCTATTATCTCTCTTTCTTCCTCTCTGCTTTCCTTGCTTTCTCTCTGCAACTCTCTGCAGGTGTGCTTGTTAACACTGGTGTTCTCCCAAAAAATGATAGATCTGCATTTCTTTGCATTCCATACATATAAACATTTATTTGTGACTACTGTATGAGAGCAAACTGTGAAGTGTTTCTCTCAGCAACAGTATCTCAGTTCTGGTGTCTCCCTTATTTTCTCTTAACCTCTCTGCTGTTGTGGTACCCTGAGGACACTATTGACGTGTGTGTGTGTGTGTGTGTGTGTGTGTGTGTGTGTGTGTGTGTGTGTGTGTGTGTGTGTGTTACCTCCTTCGGGAAAGCTTGTGTCAGGGAAGTCATGCTGGTGTTTTTGTTGGAGACCACAGACCCGCCCTCTGGTGAATGAAACAGCAGCAGATAAAGAGGAAACAGGCGAAGAGCTGGAGAAAGGCTGAACTGTTTTCCAACCATGATGGCTTCAAGACTGATGGAAAAACACTGGACACTGAAATTCTACTACACACCCATATTCACTTTTGGCACTGGATTTCATAAGGCCCAATGGTCAGGTCTTAATGCTTTTGAATGACAGCCCAGATCTACTTACCACTGTTAAAAGCTGCATTGTGTAGTAAAGTTTTCGTGCAGAAAATCAGGATCAATAACTAGTTCGCGGTCCTTATTATCCTCCCCCGCTCAGTTTTTGTCTTTATTTATCCCTAACCTCCAGGCTGCTGGTGTTAATTGCCCCACATTCCTTATCAGGCAATTATCCTCCAAGCTCTCTAAACGCAGGCGAGCTCCCGTGGCGCCACACTCTGGATCTAAAAGTGGAACAAGGAGTTCGGATAGTAGGCAAATGGACAGGTGGGATAAGGGCTGCCTGTCAGCGCCACTACCACTGACAAAACGATGAAATATAGTGACACAAAGTAATACAGCCCACTCAGTCAGTATGCAACTATCTCATGGTCAGATTTTATTTTATATTTTTCATAAAGCTTACAGTTAGGGCTGGTTCTGGCCTGGGCCAGCTCTTCTTTATGCTGCAATAGGTTTAGACTGTACGTGGCACTGGCACACTAAGCACCTTTCTTTCCTTCTCCATCCTCTATTTGTTTGTGTCATTAACTTTGGATCACCATGTCCCTTTAAAGTCACTAACAGTCTTTTCTTTCTTTAGCATCAATCTTTTTACTTTTATTCCTGCTATACGGCTAATATTAATTAAAGACCTTTTTGTGATTTTTGAAGTAATTTTCTTACTAGATTAAAATTGTGAGTGATTTAAGTTGTAATGTGATGAGATTGTAGGGACATTGTTACAAAATAAAGTCATAGTAAAGTCCTGATATTATGAGAATAAAGTCTTCATTTTTCTAAGAGTCATGTGCTGGTAAAGTCAGGTTCTGGTTTACAGTGAGCAGTCAGCTGTCTATACCAAAATGAAGAATATGGAGCATCTGGTTAAATCATCTTGAATATCTTGTCTCCTCCATTCCGTTAGAAGTATCAGGACTCTGAAAAGACTGAGCAAAAAGCTTAAAACAGCATTATGAGCCTAATCATTGGCTTTGAGTATTGTACTTAGTTAAAGGATGATGAGTTGTGCTTCTGTTAGACAAAAGAAATAAATCACGAGTTATTATGACAACGTCACTTCATAGTTGACTCCTATCATTCTGATAAAACATTAGCAGCATCTCTGAAAGCAGCACTTACCGAGATCATTCAGGCTTCATTTTCCTGTAAACTAATGACACTTTGAGCCGGAAGTTGAATGGCACAAATGCCTTGCTAGGAACAAAACAAAAAAAGACTAAACTTTCCTATTGTACAACCGAACAGTATAGTGCCTTTTTTTTTTCTTTTTTTTGCTGGCAGGTTTTTGACAAATGTTTTGTTATATGATTGGTCGGACCGGTCGATGAGGAGACAATTGAACTGAAAGGGGGGCATATCAGAGGTGGACTTACTTTTGTCAATTATTTGATTCTCGTCTGATGCTTTTAAATTGAGACAAGGACAGTAGTCCAGTTAAATTTCCAAATAGAGCTACAACCCATAGCTCACTTATACTGTGCATGTAAATATACTGAATGTTAATCATTACTGTGAATTCAGTGTTTTCACTGTTGTGCTCACAGGTAGATAGAGCAAGGGTTCCACCTCTTCAAGGATTTTTCATTAAAAAGACATGCATTGCTCATTCCACTTTTATTAGGAGATTGAGCCACTGAAGGTGCCACCCACCCATCCGGAGGTGTCAAATTTATTTCAACAAATATTCTCCGGTTGGCTTCCAAGTTGCTAAACTAGAGGAAAAGATGAATGAAATAGTAAAAGCTCTTAAGAAAAGCTAAACCAGTGTTACAGCCTCAGTATTTGAGGGTGTAAATTACTTAATTACACGTTAAAAACAAACAAACAAAGGTTAGGGCCTGTTACTATAGCAAGTCTGCCATCTGCTGCCAGAATGGTGCAACAACAGGATAACGCAACAAAACTCTGTACATGCCCATATCCTCTTCTTTGTGTAGAGCAACAATTCTTTTTTTAGATTCTCAGAGAGTTCTTTGCCATGAGGGGCCATGTTCAACTTCCAGTGACCAGTATGAGATGGTGTGGGACAATTAACACCAAATTTAACACAACTGCTCCTCTTCACACCTAAGACCTTGTAACTGTAACAAGTGACATGACACTGGGGAAGGAAAATATTTAATTGGGCCCAATTTGGACATTTTCACTTCGTGTTGTACTCACTTTTGTTGCCAGGGGTGTACACATTAATGGCTGTGGGTTGAGTTACTTTGAGGGAACAGTAAACTTACACAGTAAAGTTACACAAGCTGTACACCGACCACTGTACATTGTATTAAAGTGTCATTTCTTTAGTGTCATCCCACAAAAAGATATAATTAAATATTTGCAGAAAAGTGAGGGGTGTACTCGCTTTTGTGAGAAACTACTGTATATATATACTGCAACATTCAAAATATGTTGTTTCTTATTATACTTTTCCATGATCAAGGTTTTCCAGGCATTAGCTGAGTTTAGCAATGACTAACTTCTTAACCCTCATATTTGAAACTGAATCAGAACCATAATTAGAATAACAGTCAGCTTTATTGGCCAAGTGTGTGTGCGCATTCAAAATATTTGACTCTTTGCTCTCTTAGTAAACATCAAACATTAAATGTTACAAAAATTACAAAATATGTCTAAGAAATTGAGGCAAGAATATCTCCTTCAGCATCACTCACAAAATGATCTTGTTTGTTTAAAACTAGAGGCCACTCTACCGGTTTATTATGAACACAAATTTTGTGTTGGTGCTAAAGCCAATACTGTCATCTATAGTGCATTCATTTCACTCACACATCAGGGTGTTGATGTCTTGTTGGTGTTTCTGAGAAAAAGCTGTCCTACCCAAACTTGATTAAGTTCTTTGCAGATGCAGATGCAGGTTGTTGTCTGAGACTTTCTTTGGCATGTCTTTTAGCTCTGTGGCCTTGGACGCAGGTGCTTGGACTGTCTTTTAAGTGTGTCTGTTATAAGGGAGTAGCAGCTGTTGGTGCGCTCCTCCTTTCTCTCTTTATGCTGAATGTTTCAGAGCTTAACTGTGTGGGTTGCTGATGTTCATATTGACAATTTTCTGCATGTCCTCAGTTGGCTTGGACACAAAAATAAAAATAAGGGTATTTGCCGTTTGTCAGGGGGCACCAGCACACAGAAAGTTGTGATAATAAGAGAACTGTCCCTCACAGCATTTTATAGACCATTTTGTTGCTCTACACTATTCTGTCTCTCCTTGTCTCTCTGTGATAAGGTTTTTGTGCAACAGGAGAGTTTCTGGCCTGTCAAAAATAATGGTGAGCTGGTAAAGTTTTATTCTTTTAGTCTGCACAGTAGGAAGCCTGGAGGTTACAGAACTAAAAAAAAAAATAAAATGAAATAAATAAATAAATAAAAAAAAGATTTTTACCCCTCTGGTACCCACAGCATATGCGGGTTCGTTTAAACATGTACAAGCTCAAATCATTAGAAGGGGTTGAGGAGTGCTCCCTGGTGTCCCTGAAGGTCAATGGCACAAATATTTCAGGAAGGCAATAAAAAATCTTTTATATACACAAAAACACTTTTAAAAAAATCACTCACATGAACACAAAATAAATTTAAAAAAACATTCTAAAAAAAGGGAAAAAAATGAAAACAAAAAAAAACACTAAAACTGCTAATAAACTGAGGAATCAAACAGGTTTGGAAACAAATTTTGTAAACAAAAGTATTTTAGAACGCACAAAATTTTTGAAAATGAAAAAATTTGAAAACAAAAAAAACTGAAAACCTTTTTTTGCATTGTTTCATTTATTTGCATTTTTTTGTAAATATATTTTGTGTCCATGTTAACCATTTTTTTAATTTTTAATGATTTTTTTAGGGTTTGGGAAAGAGTATTTGTGCCATGGACCTTCAGACCCACTGTAGTCCTCCCCCATAATAATTTGAGCATTTACTCATTAATTTACTGTATTCTGGTTAATATCTGTGCAATATTTGTTGGTGTCATTTTCATTTTGAAAGAAATATATTTTAGAAAAATATTTTAACCCAAAAAGAATGTAACGCCATTTCCTGCATTGAGTTCACCCTGAAGTAAGA